GGAATGCATTGACTCACCGCGACATTTTGAAGTATCAAACTCAATCTTAGAGATGGTACGTTCGCACGCGTATGCCTGTGTCAATGTATAAATATGTATGTATAATTTTTACATTATAATTTTTGCAGGAGAGATTTGTCAGCAACATACAGATCAATCCAAAGAAATTCGAGAGCTCCAGCGAAATCGATACAAAAGTAAAATATATCCGTTCCGAAATTAAAGTGTGGTCAAATAGAGAACTAATACACGTTAAGTTAAACAGCATTGAACCCGCGAAAAATGAACTTCCGATACTATTTTACGGCGAACTGATCGATTTAAATACCAAGAATGGGATACCAAACAATTTGATAGTTTCAACAAATTGATAAAAACGATTATATGATCTGCCGGTATATGTCACTACGTCGTAGGAAGGCTATAATTTGCAAGTATGAAGTGCAGGGTTGAGAAGTAACTCGTTACTTGTAACGAAGTTACGGTTACAGTTCCTTTTTTTTTCGAAAGTCTAACTTAAACTCTGTTACTTTCTTTCCAGCTGTGACTAAAATGTAACTCGGTTACATTTTTTCAATAACTTTTAATCAGATGATTAGTTACAATAAAAGATTCTTTATATATATATTTTTTTTTAAACATCCGCAGATTGCATTGGGCCTTGCATTTGCGCATAAACGCCTTTGTCGACACTTTACAATTCAAATGCACAGTTGATATTTTCATTTTTATTGCAAGAAAGTAACTACAAAGTAATGATCCGGTACTTTTCGTGTAACTGTAATTGTAGCGCGTTACTTTTCACAATTCGTAACTTCTAACTGTAACTAGTTACATTTTTAACGATAAAACTGTAACTGTAACTATATGCTTTTATGAAATAACTTCTCAACTCTGATTAAATGTCCAATAAAATTAAAACTACATATAAATAGCGTTAAATAAAGTATCTTGCACAACCGTTTCTTTTCTAACGTGTCTGATGTTTTCCTACACTCTCTATCTACAATATCTCTCCTTATCCTCACCCTCCTTTAATCCTTTTTTGTTTAACAAATTTTCCTAAAAAACGTTTGCGATTGTAGAACCTAATGTTTCGATGTAAATAATTATCAGTTCTTCCCCTATCAAATATGATTGTTGTTACGATAATTGACTGCATTTACCTCACAATTGCAGGATAATGTTGTCAAAAAACATCACCTTTAATTTAAAGAATGATATATTTTTGATAAAGCACTCTAGAATCTATTTTGTATGATATTACACATATATACAAATAAGCGCTTTAGAATATAATATAAATATATTAATTCTATAGAATTAATCACGGCAATTATAGTTTCGTCAACATCAATATTGAAGTTTATTCAACAACATAATGCGTGTCTTATATTGTTATGCCATTACTTCTATTCTTATGACATCGTTTTATTATCGCATATGTATATGAACGTATAGACGTCATATACAGTCTTAATTCACGGCATCCTGAGGTACGCAGAAAAGACGCAAGCGCTGTTGAACGTTATAAATATATGCTATTAACTTATGAGCAGGTTCTAAAGCCCGCTGCAGACGATGCTATTTTTCCTGCTGGATTGCTTGCAATTTACTAAATTACTAGGAATCGTGAGTGCTCAATGGTGCGCCGATAGTAATTTATTAGATTGCAAGCAATCCAGCAGGAAAAATAGCATCGTCTGCAGCGGGCTTTATATAAAGGAGCGTGCGAGTGTAAGAAGAGTAGTGTCGCGTACATAGGTTGAAGCGCATTATCGCGAGATGAACGCCATTCTGATTCCATTCTTCCTAGGTTGGTAAGCCATTAACACATATCTACAACCGCCCGAATCCACGTGCCTATCATTCAACGTCGCACTCGTCTGTCCGAATGTAATCCCGCGTTTAACTTTTGAATATTTTTATTGAGAGAAATTTAAAAATTCGTGAAGTTTTAGATGACGAAAATTCTGAACTGTGAAAATCAGATAGAAAGAGTATCTCGTACATACCAGAGATTTAGAAAATTCTACTTCCAAAAACTATTGTGTTTCTAGTGATACTAATATTAAATGTGATAAAAATTTTTCCGCCACGTTCACTTAGCGGCCGACGTAGTCGTCTACAACACGTCGGAATGGACGTTCGGGCCGGAATACTTGTATGACCTGAACATTTCTTGTATTCTAAAACCGGAACCCGACGGACCCGTCGAGAGTTATCAAATGATTACTACAGTAAACTGTCGCCCGAAAATGCCGGACCATCTATCCTGTCATTTCAACAACGGAACGCTACTGGAATTTGTCGAGAATAACAACACGAGTGAAGAATGGCATATGGATGAAATGTTCGAGATCAAATTTAACGAGCGCGGTGTGGAAGGCGTGATCGTCGAGCCGAACACTGACGAGGAAATGGTGGACGTTATCCGAACGTTTGCCACTCAGTTTAACGTGGCTGTTGATCGGAGCAAAATTGACATGTCGCACTTTATGGTGAGAGAGGACTCGTCAATGGGCAATTGCGCGACGACGTACAGTGTCACACACGAAAAACCCGAGACGTCCACGACAGGAGATTTTCGGCTTGTGGTATTGCCGTTGGTCGACGCGAAATCTGGGACGACTCTTTCGATCGAGAAATCTCGGACGGAATGTATTGATCCTCCGCGACATTTGGAAGAATTAAACGCAATCTTAGAGATGGTACGTTTGCACGCGTATGCCCGTGTCAATGAATAAATATGTACGTATAATTTTTGCATTATAATTTTGGCAGGATAGATTTGTCAGCAAAATACAGATCGAGCCGAACAGATTCGAAACCTTTAGTGAAATCGATGCAAAAGTAACGTTTTACGAATCCGAATCCGAATCCGAATCCGAATCCGAATCCGAATCCGAATCCGAATCCGAATCCGAATCCGAATCCGAATCCGAATCCGAATCCAAATCCGAATCCGAATCCGAAATTCAAGTGTGGTCTACTAGAATTCTAATGGACATTAATTTAAACAGCATTGAACCTGCGAAGAATGAACTTCCGATGCTACCTTACGGCAAACTGATCGATTTAAATACCAAGTATGCGGTACCAAACAATATGATAGATTAAAACGACTATATGAATCTGCTGGTGTGTGTCAAATTGCGATGCAGAAAGACCATAATTTGCTAGTATTGAATGTCCAATTAAATTGAAACTACATATAAATAGAGTTAAATAAAGTATCTTGCAGAACTGTTTCTCTTCTTACGTCTCGGATGTGTTCTTTTCTATCTACACTATCTTTCTCTCCTCCTCACCTTTCTTTAACCCTTTTCTGCTTACCAAATTTTTCCTAAAAACACCTTTACGATTATAAAACATAATGACTGGAGGAAATCTTATAAGTTACCAGAAGTAATTAAAAACTTCAGAAGATTACTTGACCATGTCTCGCAAATTTTTATATTTAATCTCACGACGTTTCGACGATAGTTTGTGGTCCTCTTCAAGTGATAATTGTGTCAGTAAATCCGTATGGCAAATCAAAAGAACTGATCTAAAATCACTCTAATAATACAAACTTCACTTTAGAGCAGTTCATACACGTCATCAAATTGATCTTAGAATCGACTAGTTTTCGCTTCTGTGGGAAATATTATGAACAAGTCTTCGGTAGCCCAATGGGATCTCCATTGTCTCCAATTCTTGCGGACATAGTGATGGATGATCTAGAGACACAGTGCTTGCAGTCTTTAAATTTTAATATTACGACTTTTTATAGATACGTTGACGACATTTTTACTATAGTACCGACATCCAAAATCAATGACATACTTTCGGTTTTCAACACATACCATCCTAGACTCAAGTTCACTCACGAGACGGAAATTAACGATTCAATTAATTTCCTCGACACAACAGTCCTAAGAAGCGACGGTGTGCTAATTACGAACTGGTACCGGAAACCCACATTTTCTGGACGATATGTAAACTTTTTCTCAAACCACCCTCTAAAATACAAAACTAACACAATATCACACTTAATAGACCGAGCAATTATTCTATCTGACAGCCGATTCCACCTTGACCACATTCAAACTGTAAAAAACATTATATTAAATAATTGCTTTCCTACCAAATTAATTGGCAAACATATAAAATCCAGACTCAAACAAATAAAATTCCAAATCAACGTTAACGACCAGCCAAAAATTTTTGATCCTCGTGGATATATACGATTCCCATATATCAAGGGTGTTAGTGACAGTGTCAACCATAAACTCCGGAAAGTCGGTATTAATACACTATTGACCATCCCAAAAAAACTTAACTCCATCATAAAGATAGAAAAAGATACCTTGACCAATGACCAAAAAGTAGAAGTAGTATATAAGATTGACTGCAAGAACTGTAACGCTTCATACATAGGACAGACCAAGCGACATTTAAAAACTCGTGTAAAAGAACATTCAAAAGACATCATGAAACAAGTAAGCAACCACTCCGTGGTCAGCAAACACCGTACATCACATGGTCATGATTTCGATTGGTCTGCTCCTCATGTATTACACCAGGAGAGTAATACGAGAAGGAGAGAGATAGCTGAGATGGTTTTTATAAAAAGGACGAAAGATACAATTAACTTACAAACTGACACTGAAAATCTCAACGCTATTTATGACCGGATTATTGACCTGATTTAATTTTTAGACATCATCATTTACTTATTTATTTATTTATTTATTTATTTCTTGACCTATTATGTGACTTTCACCTATTTTTACCGATACCCTCTACATATCGATTCAGTCATATTTTGTCAGTACGCAAGCTAAGTTAACACTCGCTGAACATGTAAGTTTAGAAATTCATTTAAAAAGAAATCTCTGCAATTTCTCTCTCTCTTAACACTCTTAATTTTAGATCATAATGATTATCCTCTCAACACCAACGTAACACATGTGATTTTATACACACGATTACCACAGGTAACACACAATTTATATAACTTATCACAAATACGAAAACGTGACTAATTTGTAAAATTCGAATTGTAACAGATATGATCACTTGAAAAGGACCAAAACCCATGGTCGAAACGTCGTGATAATTTACCATTAAAATTGCCAGATATGGTCAACCAATTTTGATGTTTTTAAAGAATGATGTATCTTCGATGAAATACTATAGAATCTATTTTATACGATACCCCACACGCGCGCACGCACACGCAAACGCATACGGTTGGAGTTTTCACGGGCCATGGGTTGCCACGATTGGCACGGCGAACCGGCAACCTTACGCCTTCCGGATTTTCGCTACCGGGCCAATCGGCTGCCCACCCTTAGGGGTTGGTCTCCGTTATCGAAAGAAGACAACATGTTCCTACTGTAACTTTTCGGAGGACAACTCCGAAAAATCACATCACTCTCGCTGCCTGACAATAATAATCACGAGCGGTATCCCGCCGGTTACGTACGTTTCAAAATAAGGTCGTTTTCTTATTTTTCGTCTACACCTCTATTGTCAGGACATCGCTTTATCATCGTATAATATATGTACACGAACGTGCACGCGCCACGTACAGTCGTATTCACGGCATCCTGGGGTACGGAGAAAAGACGCGAGTGCTGCTGAACATTACGCTATTAAATTATGAGCAAGTTTTAGTACAAAGGGGCGTGCGACTGTAAGAAGAGTAGTGTCAACGTACAAACATACGTGAGGCTTACTGTCGCGAGATGAACGTCACCCTGATTCCGTTCTTCCTAGGTAAGTCATCAACAAGTAAACTGCTTGGTCCACCCGGAGAACGTGCATATCTAAAAGACATCGTTAAGAGAACTATTAGACGCCTTATGTCTAAAAGACGTCTAATAGACGTCTTAAAGATGTCTTTCGAACATGTTCTCTGGGCACGTGCTTATCATTTAACGTCGTACTCGTCTGTACGCATGTAAAATCGCGTGGATACATTTTCACAAAACTTTTATTGACAACGAGAGGAATGAAAAATTCTTAAAGGTTTAGATAAATGAAATTTTGATGGGAGGAAATTAGCGAGGAAACGTATCTTGTACATATTAGAGATTTGGCAAATCTCATTTACGAAAGTTCTATCTTTCTAGCGATATTAATACTAAATTTGATAAAATTTTCCGTCACACTTACTTAGCGGCCAACGTAGTCGTCCACAATCCGGCAGAATGGACGTTTGGGCAGGAATACTTGTACGACGTGAACATTTCTTATGATGTAAAACCGGATTCCTTTGGATCAAAGAAAAATTATCAATTACTCACCACACTAAGCTGTCGCCCGAAAATGCGGAACTATCTACTCTACCAGTTCAAAAACGGATCGCATGTGAAGCGCACATCAACGAAGGATAGCATCGTGGGGCTAGGAGGACGAGCAGAAGATATGTTTGAGATCAAATTTACCGAGCGCGGTGTGGAAAGCCTGATTGTCGATCGGACCAGCTACGGACCAGATGTGCAGACTATGCGAAAAATAGCCAATCAGTTTAACGTGATTGATGATCGGAAAAATTTGGGCAAGCGGCAGTTTATACGGAAAGTGAGCGCTCGTTGATGGGCAATTGCACGACCACGTACACTATCTCGCACGACGAAACCGAGGACGAAACGGACATGCACGAGGAAGGAGATACCGATTTTGAGCTCCTGATATTGCCGTCGGTCAACACCGAATCTGGAACGCCTCTTTTCCTTGAGAAATCTCGGATAGTTTGTTACAATTCACTCGAAAAACTTGTCACATTCGACACCGCACAATTAGAGGTGGTACGTATTGTGCACGCGCGTGTGCCTGTGTGTGCATAATCTGTGCATTACAATTGTTGCAGGAGAGATTTGTCAGCGAATACAAAATCTACCCAAAAAAATTCAAAAGCTTTACCAGATTCCAGGGAAAGATAGGAGATGAGGAATCAGACGGTGAAGAGATATCAATTAAAGAATTTATACACGTTAATTTAAATAGCATTCAACCCGCGCAAGATAAACTTCCGACTATTTCCAACGGTAAACTGATCGAATTAAGTGGCAACATTAATGTATAGAGCAATTTTATAAACTAAAGCGGCTATGTATGTACACTTTACTAATATATGTCTATCCACATACGTTACGTTACGTTGTAGGATGCTATAATTTGCAATATTAAATATCTAATCGAATTAAAACTACACTTGAATAGAATTAAATAAAGTACGTGTGGCATATCGTCGCGAGATGAATGTCACCCTGATTCCGTTCGTCCTAGGTAAGCCGTCAACAAGTAAACTGCCTAAATCCACCCAGAGAGCATGCATGTCTAAAAGACATCTTTAAGACGCCCATACAGCACCAAAGCTTTCAGAAACATTTTAGAAAACATTGTTGCAATGTTGCAGGGTTTCTGAAAGCTTCGGTGCTGTATGGGTCTACATAATACGTCTAATAGATGCACGTTCTCTGGACACGTGCTTATCATTTAACGTTCTACATATGAACGAATGTAAAATCGCGTAGATACATTTCCCGAAACTCTTATTGATGACGGGAGGAATTAAAAAATTCATAAACGTTTAGATAAATAAAATCCTGAGGGAGCAAATCACAGCGGAAAAGTATCTCGTGCATAAATCTTATGCCGTCCGGATTTTCGCTACCGGGCCAGTCGGCTGTCCACCCTTAGCGGTTGGTCTCCGTTATCGAGGCGAGACAATGTTCCTCACTTTAGCTCTTCGAAGGACAACTCCGAAAAGTGAAATCACTCTCGCTGCTTTACAATAATAATGACGTGCGGTGTCACGCCCGTTGCCGTATCATTCAAAACATGGTCGTCTTCTAATTTCTCGCCTATACCTCTATTGTCAAGACACCGTTTTCTGATCGCACATGGATACAACCGTGCACACGTCACATGTCGTCGTATTCAGGACATCCTGGGGTACGGAGGAAAGACGCGAGTGCTGCTGAACATTACGCTATTAAATTATGAGCAAGTTCTAGTATAAAGGAGCGTGCGACTGTAAGAAAAGCAGTGCGAACGTACATACACACGTGAGGCGTGTTGTCGCGAGATGTACGTCACCGTGATTCCGTTCTTCCTAGGTAATTCCATTGACAAGTAAACTGTTTTAATCCACCCAGAGAACTTGCATGTTTAAAAGACATCTTTAAAATATCTATTAGTCTATTAGTAGTCCATAACATTTTTAGGGAATTAGTCTATTAGTCTATTAGTAGTCTATTGGTAGTCTATTAAATTAAATAGATGTCTTAAAGATAATAGATAATAGAGATAATAATAAATAGATGTTTTTTAGACATGGCTGTTTTATGGGCATGTGCTTACCATTTAACGTCATACTCGTCTACTAAAAGACGTCTAATAGACGCCTTGAAGATGTTTTTTAAACATGTTCTCTGGGCACGTGCTTATCATTTAACGTCGTACTCGTCCGTACGAATTTTTCTCTAAAAACTTTTATTGATAAGGAGTGGAAATAAAATTTCTTAAAGGTTCGGATGAATGGAATTCTGAGGGGAGAAAATCAGAGAGAAATGTATCTCGTACATATTAGAGATTTAGCAAATCTCATTTACAAAAGTTCTATCTCTAAATAAGCGCTTTAGAATATAATATAAATATATTAATTCTATAGAATTAATCACGGCAATTATAGTTTCGTCAACATCAATATTGAAGTTTATTCAACAACATAATGCATGTCTTATACTGTTATGCCATTACTTCTGTTCTTATGACATCGTTTTATTATCGCATATGTATATGAACGTATAGACGTCATATACAGTCTTAATTCACGGCATCCTGAGGTACGCAGAAAAGACGCAAACGCTGTTGAACGTTATATATGCTATTAACTTATGAGCAGGTTCTAAAGCCCGCTGCAGACGATGCTATTTTTTTGTTGGATTGCTTGCAATTTACTAAATTACTAGGAATCTTGAGTGCTCAATGGTGCACCGATAGTAATTTATTAGATTGCAAGCAATCCAGCAGGAAAAATATCATCGTCTGCAGCGGGCTTTATATAAAGGAGCGTGCGAGTGTAAAAAGAGTAGTGTCGCGTACATAGGTTGAAGCGCATTGTCGCGAGATGAACGCCATTCTGATTCCATTCTTCCTAGGTTGGTAAGCCATTAACAAGTATCTACAACCGCCCGAATCCTCGTGTCTATCATTCAACGTAGCACTCGTCTGTCCGAATGTAATCCCGCGGTTAACTTTTGAATATTTTTACTGAGAGAAATTTAAAAATTCGTAAAGGTTTAGATGACGAAAATTCTGAACTGTGAAAATCAGATAGAAAGAGTATCTCGTATATACCAGAGATTTAGAAAATTCAACTTCCAAAAACTGTGTTTCTAGATATTAATATTAAATGTGATAAAACATTTTCCGCCACATTCACTTAGCGGCCGACATAGTCGCCAACAACACGTCGGAATGGACGTTCGGGCCGGAATACTTGTATGACCTGAACATTTCTTATATTGTAAAACCGGAACCCGACGGACCCCTCGTGAGTTATCAAATGATTAATACAGTAAACTGTCGCCCGAAAATGCCGGACCATCTATCCTGCCATTACAACAACGGAACGATACTGCAATTTGTCGAGAATAACAACACGAGTGAAGAATGGCATATGGATGAAATGTTCGAGATCAAATTTAACGAGCGCGGTGTGGAAGGCGTGATCGTCGAGCCGAACACTGACGAGGAAATGGTGGACGTTATCCGAACGTTTGCCTCTCTGTTTATCGTGGCTGTTGATCGGAGCAAAATTGACATGTCGCACTTTATGATGAGAGAGTACTCGTCAATGGGCAATTGCGCGACGACGTACAGTGTCACACACGAAAAACCCGAGACGTCCACGACAGGAGATTTTCGGCTTGTGGTATTGCCGTTGGTCGACGCGAAATCTGGGACGACTCTTTCGATCGAGAAATCTCGGACGGAATGCATTGATGTTCCGCGACGTTTGGAAAAATTAAACGCAACCTTAGAGATTGTACGTTCGCACGCGTATGCCCGTGTCAATGTATAAATATGTACGTATAATTTTTGCATTATAATTTTTGCAGGGTAGATTTGTCACCAAAATACAGATCGAGCCGAACAGATTCGAAACCTTTAGTGAAATCGATATAAAATTAACGTTTTCCGAATCCGAATTTGGAGTGTGGTCTACTAGAATTCTAATGGACCTTAATTTAAACAGCATTGAACCTGCGAAGAATGAACTTCCGATGCTACCTTACGGCAAACTGAGCGAGTTAAATACCAAGCATGCGGTACCAAACAATATGATAGATTAAAACGACTACATGAATCTGCTGGTGTGTGTCAAATTGCGATGCAGAAAGACCATAATTTGCTAGTATTGAATGTCCAATTAAATTGAAACTACATATAAATAGAGTTAAATAAAGTATCTTGCACAACTGTTTCTCTTCTTACGTCTCGGATGTGTTCTTTTCTATCTACACTATCTTTCTCTCCTCCTCACCTTTCTTTAACCCTTTTCTGTTTAACAAATTTTTCCTAAAAACACCTTTACGATTATAAAACATAATGACTGGAGGAAATCTTATAAGTTACCAGAAGTAATTAAAAACTTCAGAAGATTACTTGACCATGTCTCGCAAATTTTTATGTTTAATCTCACGACGTTCCGACCATAGTTTGTGGTCCTCTTCAAGTGATAATTGTGTCAGTAAATCCGTAATGCAAATCAAAAGAACTGATCTAAAATTCACTCTAATAATACAATCTTCACTTTAGAGCAGTTCATACACGTTATCAAATTGATCTTAGAATCGACTAGTTTTCGCTTCTGTGGGAAATATTATGAACAAGTCTTTGGTAGCCCAATGGGATCTCCATTGTCTCCAATTCTTGCGGACATAGTGATGGATGATCTAGAGGCACAGTGCTTGCAGTCTTTAAATTTTAATATTACGACTTTATAGATACGTTGACGACATTTTTACTATAGTACCGACATCCAAAATCAATGACATACTTTCGGTTTTCAACACATACCATCCTAGACTCAAGTTCACTCACGAGACGGAAATTAACGATTCAATTAATTTCCTCGACACAACAGTCCTAAGAAGCGATGGTGTGCTAATTACGAACTGGTACCGGAAACCCACATTTTCTGGACGATATGTAAACTTTTTCTCAAACCACCCTCTAAAATACAAAACTAACACAATATCACACTTAATAGACCGAGCAATTATTCTATCTGACAGCCGATTCCACCTTGACAACATTCAAACTATAAAAAACATTTTATTAAATAATTGCTTTCCTACCAAATTAATTGACAAACATATAAAATCCAGACTCAAACAAATAAAATTCCAAATCAACGTTAACGACTAGCCAAAAATTTTCGATCCTCGTGGATATATACGATTCCCATATATCAAGGGTATTAGTGACAGTGTCAACCATAAACTCCGGAAAGTCGGTATTAATACACTATTGACCATCCCAAAAAAACTCCATCATAAAGAAAGAAAAAGATACCTTGACCAATGACCAAAAGGTAGAAATAGTATATAAGATTGACTGCAAGAACTGTAACGCTTCATACATAGGACAGACCAAGCGACATTTAAAAACTCGTGTAAATGAACATTCAAAAGACATCATGAAACAAGTAAGCAACCACTCCGTGGTCAGCAAACACCGTACATCACATGGTCATGATTTCGATTGGTCTGCTCCTCGTGTATTACACCAGGAGAGTAATACGAGAAGGAGAGAGATAGCTGAGATGGTTTTTATAAAAAGGACGAAAGATACAATTAACTTACAAACTGACACTGAAAATCTCAACGCTATCTATGACCGGATTATTGACCTGATTTAATTTTTAGACATCATCATTTACTTATTTATTTATTTATTTATTTATTTCTTGACCTATTATGTGTCTTTCACCTATTTTTACCGATACCCTCTACATATCGATTCAGTCATATTTTGTCAGTGCGCAAGCTAAGTTAACACTCGCTAAACATGTAAGTTTAGAAATTCATTTAAAAAGAAATCTCTGCAATTTCTCTCTCTCTTAACACCCTTAATTTTAGATCATAATGATTATCCTCTCAACACCAACGTAACACATGTGATTTTATACACACGATTACCACAGGTAACACACAATTTATATAACCGTAAACTTATCACAAATACGAAAACGTGACTAATTTGTAAAATTCGAATTGTAACAGATATAATCACTTGAAAAGGACCAAAACCCATGGTCGAAACGTCGTGATAATTTACCACTAAAATTGCCAGATATGGTCAACCAATTTTGATGTTTTTAAAGAATGATGTATCTTCGATGAAATACTATAGAATCTATTTTATACGATACCCCACATACGCACACGCGCGCACGCACACGCAAACGCATACGGTTGGAGTTTTCACGGGCCACGGGTTGCCACGATTGGAACGGCGAACCAGCAACCTTACGCCTTCCGGATTTTCGCTACCGGGCCAATCGGCTGCCTACCCTAAACCCTTAGCGGTTGGTCTCCGTTATCGAAAGGAGACAACATGTTCCTTACTGTAACTTTCCGGAGGACAACTCCGAAAAATCACATCACTCTCGCTGCCTGACAATAATAATCACGAGCGGTATCCCGCCGGTTACGTACGTTTCAAAATAAGGTCGTTTTCTTATTTTTCGCCTACACCTCTATTGTCAGGACATCGCTTTATCATCGTATATGTACACGAACGTGCACGCGCCACGTACAGTCGTATTCACGCCCGGGAAAAAATTTTCACATATGATCATATATAATCATATATGCTCATATACGAAAAATGTCCATATATAAGATACCATATGTATCATATATGATCGTATATGATAATGTGTTTGTGGTAATTATGGAGAATAGGAACTTTTCCGAATTTTGATATTTTTCGGGCTCCCCCGATTGATTATCACTGTCGGAGTCACAACAAAGGTTTTTACCAAGAAAACCGCAAGAAAATATCAAAATTCGGAAAAGTTCCTATTCTCCATAATTACCGTGTTTGTCATATATGACAGTATATATAACAAATACATTATCATATACGATCATATATGATGCACATGTTTGTCATATATACTGTCATATATGACAAACACATTATCATGTACGATCATATATGATACATATGGTATCTTATATATGGACATTTTTCGTATATGAGCATATATGATTATATATGATCATATGTGAAAATTTTTTCCCGGGCGGCATCCTGGGGTACGGAGAAAAGACGCGAGTGCTGCTGAACATTACGCTATTAAATTATGAGCAAGTTTTAGTACAAAGGGGCGTGCGACTGTAAGAAGAGTAGTGTCAACGTACAAACATACGTGAGGCATACTGTTGCGAGATGAACGTCACCCTGATTCCGTTTTTCCTAGGTAAGCCATCAACAAATAAACTGCCTAAATCCACCCAGAGAGCATGCATGTTTAAAAGACATCTTTAAGACGCTCATACAGTATTACAAGACGGTAATTCCCTGAAAATTTGAAGGGAATCGCTCTTTGCTACGAATCGGCAGCGAAAGAACAGCGAGAGG